TTATTTTGTCCTCACATGTAAACAACTGCAATCGACTTTTGTGAGTTTTTTGAGTTTTTCCCTCCATTTCTTATAATGTTTAGTGAGAAGCGCACGCCAAAAGATTACATTTTTTAATCTTTTCCGCTAGGGTTCACCCAAAGTTCATTTCCGCAGACTGGCAACGCTATGGAATATTTTTTCGTCGATCAGGGGACCGACGTGAGAAAAGGCCCGACGAAAAGTGAACGCCAGCTGTTTGCCTCTCGCTCTCTCTCATGACTGGCGTACGGTTTTCGTCGATCTGGATACTAGGCTTATTTTGTTAACTTTAGCATAAGGTTCACGCAAATCATAGTTAGATTTTCAATGATTTAATCTAACAGGAATATAGTTCCTCGTAATTCTATTAGGCACAGAGAAGTTTAGGTGACCCAGTAACTCGGGACACTCAAAAACCCCGTAAATATGTTTACAAATAAAAATTGTGCCACGCATCGCACTAAGTATGGATAAAGATGGTAGATTAATTAGAAAAAGTCTACTGGAGTGTGGTGGCAAATAATTGTCAGTAAATTAAAAAACAACTGTTAAATTTAAATTGTTGTTTTTTAATTTGTTTGTACAGCGGCAGACTTGACTTGCCAAGGTAGTTGAAAATATCTTTTAAAGGGTGTTTCCCGCAAATACGATTTTTGAATTTTAACTGCCCAGCTGATTGACAGTACGACCGTAGCACGCTTAAATCTGATGAACTCTCGAAAATGCAGTCACACTGGAAACATAAAAGTTTTTCCGCTAGCGAACTCGTTCGATCGGAAATGCCATAACTTTGGTGTTTTTAAAGTTAGGAAGTTGGGATTTTCTTTGGGTTTTAATTTTGGCCCATCAATCCGACCTATATAATTTACAGAATATTCTGCAAGGGTATATCAACTTCGGCTCCGCCCGAAGTTAGCTTTCCTTTCTTGTTTGGCAATCAATCCGACCTACCAAATTTCGACTATTTCCTACAGCTGCCATATAACTGAACGATTGGAAATGCCATAACTTACAGAATATTCTGCGAATATTCTACCTGTGTCGAACCAACCCAACCGAGTACGTTTTCCCTTCGTCAGATTTACTTTGCTTTTCAGATCCACCGTACAACCCCAGTCCCTCATAGGCAAACTAGTCACCGACTTTACCAAATTGCAGAGCACCATCCGAGACTGTTCATTGATTTGTCTTAACTGCGGTCATGCGTCTACTCCTGGCGTTAGATTGGGAGTCATCTATTTTCAAATCCAACCAGGGAAAAATAAGTCATATGCATGATTGTGGTCCCTCACTTCCAAAAAATAAAATGTTCTCTTCGAATTAGCTTATTAAGAATTTAAATATATTTATTGTAAATTTTTTTTTTTGCTTATCCATTTATTATGTTCTGTCTAAATGTTCAAAGCTATGGTTTTAATTGTATTCTTTTGTAAATTATGATGGACTAATAAATATTTTTTTAAAATATGCACAAAAATGTGAATAAATTAAGAAATAAATAAATAATGTTATTATTTTTTTTGTTTTTAGCGCCGGAAATTAAGATACATTTTTTTGATCATTTTATCAAGGCGTTATTTGGAATTTCTTTTAGAGTCGTAGTCTACTCGGATCTAGAGACACGCGGTTGGATAATTTTTTGGAGCACACCAGCAGAATTATCAGATTTAATCAAATTGTTGTTAGGCTCGTCTTAAAAAATAATCATCTTGTAGTAGTTTTTGCCCCCCTTTTCTGTTTCCGCTGATTGACCTCTATGCTCCTTGTTTTCTGGTCTAGGTCCCAGTTCTCCCTAGATCTTATATCTCTCGAAATCCTAATCCTTTCTAGATCCTAAATGCACCAGAAACACGAACAGAAACTCCCATCTAAGATGCATGGCCACTTCCCATCTTCTAGCCACTTTATATTTATAATTTTATTTCACTGAAAATAGGTCGATACCAATACCAAAAGCTTTCAAACTTTTTGTTTTCTTTGATTTTTGTCCAGACTAGCTTTGGCTTATCGTAAATTTTAAACTAATGGATGCCTGATCCCTACTTGACCGATGTTGTTGCCCATGTGTACCTTGTGAAAACTAGGAGCTGATTATGGTTTCCCTCCTTGATCATCCCATATTGGCGCTATTCGCGTTCCACCTTTTTTCCTAGTTACTGTGGCCCTGCCAACATCAATAAAATACTCAAAAATCAAAGTTTTGGTAAACAACAGAGCTGTGCTTCAGCAAATATATGGGCTCTAGTCAATTATCACTTAATTATTATTTTTTTTAATGCCGTAAAAATGTGTAACGAACTGAATTCTTTATTATCTGGTCGCTACAAATCTCGTGCGACTAGCTCAGAAGATCGCAAAAGATGGAACTCGGACTTGAGCCAATGGTACCTAGGCTTAATAGCAGAATATCTTGCTTACTACTTGGCCGGCGCTTGCTGATCGTCGTCCTCGGTGCACACGATGCCCTTGCTCTGCTTTCCGAGTGCTCTTACAGGACCAGACGCAGTGGGTATTTGGCTCTTGCGACTCGGTTAGCTGCCGTTCTACGGCTCTGGCGGTGAGCAAGCTCCTTCTTGAGTTCCGCAGGGACGATCCTCATGTCAGTAATTGAATTTCCCTCCCAAAATTTTCCCTCCCAAGTCTATACTAATTTGCTTGAGTTTATTGCTAGCATAATATTTGGCCAATTCTCCTCCCAATTTCTTTGGTCTGCACACCACTAAGCTATCATTGTCTTCCGTTCTGTAAGGTTTTCATGCGGCGTGAAAGGCTGAGACGGCTGTAAATTGGTTTACCGTTGTCGGATATCATGTCTTTTTGAACCCCAAACCTTGACAGTATGCGTTCTCTAAACGTCTTCTGTAGGGTCTCCGCTTTTGGATTACGCAGGGGCACCATTTCAGTCCAATTATTTGTTTGTATTACCGAGCCATCACCAAAAACAATCGACCACGGTCAGCAGTGGCGTGAGCAGAAGTTATTATATATATATTATTATCCAATATATTATTTTATAAAAATACTTTTCCTTGCTTATTTTTTTTTTAAAAAGCTAATCTCAACTTTTAAGCATAAGCTTACAACTATTCTGTATATAAATTAAATTGTTGGCTGGGGAAGTGTTAGCCAGCAATTCCCAACCTCCCCTCCAAATACGCTTCCGGTTTTTAGAAATGAATATGGCCTACACGTAAGTTTAAATGGTTTCGGTTGCCAAGATTTGTGAGTTGCATGAAAAATGTGCGCCAAAGGCGCCAAATCAATACAGGCTAACTATACTTGTAACTATCAGATACCCGTTACTCAGGTAAAGGGAGTGCGAGGGAGATGGAGATAGAAACTTTGATCACGCATAACTTTTTAACGAATGATCCGATTTGAAAAATTTTTTCTACATTTCGATAGGTATTGATAAACACAATAAAACTGCATTTTTACTTTTCCGAAATATTTAAATTTTTAAAATCGTATATAAGCGATTGTGGGCGTTAAAGGGGGCGTGGCACCATTTTGAAACAAACTTGCGCTGCGTAGGAACTCCTAGAATCTGCATGCAAAATGCCAATCTTCTAGCTTTTATAGTTTAGATCTCAGCGTTCATACGTACGGACAGACAGACGAACATGGCTATATCGACTCGGCTAGTGACCCTGATCAAGAATATATATACTTTATAGGGTCGGAAACGCTTCCTTCTAGCTGTTACATACCTTTGCACGAATACAATATACCCTTTTACTCTACGAGTAACGGGTATAATAATTAACATAATTAAGCCTAGTATTCAGATCGACGAAAACCGTACGCCAGTCATGAGAAAGAGCGAGAGGCAATCAGCTGGCGTTCACTTTTCGTCGGGCCTTTTTTTCACGTCGGTACTCAGATCGACGAAAAAAATACCAGAAAATTTCATAGCGTTGCCAGTCTACTGAAATGAACTTTGGGTCAACCCTAGCGAAAAGAATACAAAATTTAATCTTTTGGCGTGCGCTTCTCACTGAACATTTTATAAAATGGAGGGAAAAAATCCAAAAACCCGCAAAAGACGATTTCAGGAGTTTACATGTGAGGACAGAATAACATTAATACTATCTGGGGTGCCTCTTGTCAGAGCAAAGTGTTTCTTAGGTCAAAAATGTACAAAAAACACAATAAAAGTGCAGCTATGAACTTTAAATTAGCAAATAATTATCAGTAAATTAAAAAAAAAACAATTGTTAAATTTATATTGAATTTTTTTTTAATTTCTTTGTAAAGGCTTTGATAATTTCTTTTAAAGGCTCTTTCCCGCAAATACGATATTTGAATTTGAACTGCTTGTCAACAAACCCAGCTGATTGACAGTACGACCGTAGCACGCTTAATTCTGATGAACTATCGAAATGTTGGTCACACTGGAAAGATTAAAGTTTTTACGATAGCGTACTCGTTTGTCGATCTGGATACTAGGCTTTAATTACTGCTCCATCCGTGTGGCAGCATTAAGAATTGCTCCCCTCTTTCCTAGGCGCAAACCGTATTCACACTATGGAGCAGAACACCTTGGAGAACGAGAGTATGTCCCCAGACTTATATTTGTGGTTTAAGTCTAGTACTCAGATCGACGAAAACTGTACGCCAGTCAGACAGCTGGCGTACACTTTTTGTCAAGGGTTTTTTCACCTAGGTCCTCAGATCGACGAAAAAATACCAGAAAATTGCACCCTAGCGAAAAGATTAAAAAATGTAATCTTTTGGCGTGCGCTTCTCACTGACATTTTAAAAAATGGAGGGAAAAATCATAAAACCCGCAAAAGTCGATTGCTGGAGCTTACATGGGAGGACAAAATAACATTAATACTATCTGGGGTGCCTCCAGATCGACAAACGATTACGCTAGCGTAAAAACTTTAATCTTTCTAGTGTGACCAAAGTTTCGAGAGTTCATCCGAACTGAGCTTACTACGGTCTTACTGTCAATCAGCTGGGTTTGTTGACAAACAAAAAACCAAACATAGTTAAATTAAACGAAAATGTCGAGTTCAAAAAACACAAGCGTGATTTTGGTTGTCAGCATGGCGGCATGTATTGTAGCATTAGAGGAAGAGGACAAAGGACAACGGCGGAAATATTGGGTGAGCCCATATCTGCAGGAAAGGGCCCTTAAAGGCCGATATGCTTCCGACGTAAGTAATACTGTTCAATAATGTATTAATATTCGTGCACTAAAAAATATTTTCTTATTATTTTAAAGTTTCAAAACTTGTTGCAGAATCCTTCAATGTTTTTCGAAAACTTTCATATGTCTCAGAAGAGTTTTAACACTCTTTTTGGAATGGTGGAGCAGTACCTTGTACCGAAACGGAACACTCGCCCAGACGCTATACAAATAAAAGCCAAGTTGGCCATCGTTTTAGAGTAATTAGATTTTAAATATTTAGTTTTAGATAACAATATATTTATATTTTGTATCCTTTTATTTAGATTTCCTGCCTCTGGAGACGTGCAACGCCACATTGGATCAACTTATCGGATCAGTAAGCAATACTTTGGAGTGATTCTCCTCCAGGTGTCTATTGTCATTTGGACTGCTTTGCGGGATGAATTCCCCAAGTGGACGTCGGGCAATATGCTGATGTGGGTTGAAGGCTTCGAAGACGAGTGGAACTTTCCTAATTGTATTGGAGCAGTCGACGGAAAGCATATGGCGATAAAAGGCCCGCCAAATAGCGGAAGCCTTTTTTACAATTAAAAGGTAAGTACTTTTTAAATGCCAATAGAATTTAATAACAAAATCGTTTGTAATGTAGGGCTTTCATTCGATTGTGCTTATGTATTATATTAGTATAATGTTACAATATTTTTGGCCAGAACCTACTGCCTCTGCGTGGATAAGTCCGGCAGGAAGCCCATGTAGGGGGCGAAATCCCACTCTGCAGCACCTGTTGGCTTCTCCAGTGGGTCTCCTCCAGCACTTCCACGCTTTGGTTGCTTGCACTTATGGTACTTATAACTGTCCCGCAGAGACTTCCACGCCAGCTTGCAACTATTATCTAAACATAAATATTGTATATGTCCACGTTAACAAATATTTAATAATGTACAATTATAACTTACCATCTTTGTCCATTTCCCAGGCTATTTCCTCCCACGATCTTTTAATAAAAGTTGCATTAAAATGCTTATTATTTGAAAGGTCCCACAATTCTGGGCGCGACTCCACGCATTGTATCAATGCAATTTTGTCCTCACAATTAAACTCCAGCAACCGACTTTTGCTGGTTTTTTGATTTTTTCCCTCCATTTTTTTAAATACTCGATGAGAAGCGCACACCAAAATATTACATTTTTTATTCTTTTTGCTAGGGTTCACCCAAAGTTCATTTCAGGTGGTTGGCAACGCGATGCAATTTTCTGGTATTTTTTTCGTCGAACTGAGGACCTAGGTCAAAAAAAAGCTTCACGAAAAATGAACGCCAGCTGTTTGCCTGTCGCTCTCTCTCATGACTGGCGGACAGTTTTTGTCGATCTGAGTACTAGGCTTAAGGTCAAAAATGTACGAAAAAACACAATAAAAGTGCAACTATAAACTTTTAATTAGCAAATAATAATCAGTAAATTAAAAAACAACTGTTAAATGTAAATTTTATTGTTTTTTAATTTCTTTGTACAGCGGCAGACTTGTCTTGTCAAGGTAGTTGATAATATCTTTTAAAGGCTCTTTCAGAAGCTGTGCACGAAAAGAAAGAAATTCGGAATTGCATGGAAGAAGAAGATGTGACATTCTGGGCTCTACTGAACTCCTCCATAGCTAAGCTGCCAATTCAAAAACTTTTATAAATCAGCGTTTATAAATGGTCTGTAGTTTCTGGAGAACACAGGTCGATTTTTACATTGGGTTGGGTATAGTTTTAAAAACTGTGGCAATAAAACAGACAAAAATTAAATGTAATTTTTAAACGACAAACCTTGATACGTATTGCATTTAATCTATAATCTAATAACGTAGTCCCATCCTTAAAAAAGACTATATTCACCAAACCATTATAAAGCCTAGTATCCAGATCGACAAACGATTACGCTAGCGTAAAAACTTTAATCTTTCCAGTGTGACCAAAAGTTTGAGAGTTCATCAGATTTAAGCCGTACTGTAAATCAGCTGGGTTTGTTGACAAGCAGTAAACTCACATGTAAACTCCTGCAATCGACTTTTGTGAGTTTTTTGAGTTTTTCCCTCCATTTCTTATAATGTTCAGTGAGAAGCGCACGCCAAAAGATTAAATTTTTTAATCTTTTCCGCTAGGGTTCACTCAAAGTTAATTTCCGCAGACTGGCAACGCTATGGAATTTTCTTGTATTTTTTTCGTCGATCAGGAGACCGACGTGAAAAAAAGGCCCGACGAAAAGTGAACGCCAGCTGTTTGCCTCTCGCTCTCTCTCTTGACTGGCGTACGGTTTTCGTCGATCAGGATACTAGGCTTAAGACTCTTAGATTACATTTTTTATTCGATACAGGTTAGCATCTATAAGGTGTATCACAAATTGGATTAGATAGTTTTTCAAGTTTAAGAACAGCCAAAAAATATATTGTCATCGGATTTTTAGTACACTCAAGCGAACTAGATCAAAAAGCGAGAGAATCGCAAATACCTTCAAAAAACCTTTAAGCTTAGTACTCAGATCGACAAAAACTGTCCGCCAGTCATGAGAGAGAGCGAGAGGCAAATAGCTGGCGTTCACTTTTCGTCGGGCCCTTTTTTCACGTCGGTACTCAGATCGACGAAAAAAATACCAGAAAATTGCATAGCGTTGCCAGTCTGCGGAAATTATCTTTGGGTGAACCCTAGCGCAAAGAATGAAAAATTTAATCTTTTGGCGAGCGCTTCTCACTGAACAATTTAAGAAATGGATGGAAAAACTAAAAAAAACCCGCAAAAGTCGATTGCAGGAGTTTACATATGAGGTCAGAATAACATTAATACTATCTTGGGTTCCTCTTCTCAGAGCCAAATGTTTCTTAGATCAAAAATGTACGAAAAAACACAATAAAAGTGCAACTATGAACTTTAAATTAGCAAATAATTATCAGTAAATTAAAAAAAACATCTGTTAAATTTAAATTGTATTGTTTTTTAATATCTTTGTACAGCGGCAGACTTGTCTTGCCAAGGTAGTTGATAATATCTTTTTCCCGCAAATACGATATTTGAATTATAACTGCTTGTCAACAAACTCAGCTGATTGACAGTACGACCGTAGCACGCTTAATTCTAATGAACTCTCCAAATGCAGGTCACACTGGAAAGATTAAAGTTTTTGCGCAAGCGTACTCGTTTGTCGATCTGAGTACTAGGCTTTAATCTTCTAATTTTACATAGTCCACCCAAGGCATATTAAAAGTAAATCTGCCAGCAGATTTAAAATAGTTTCGAAAGCTATATGTCGTTAGATTTTAAATCATCCAAGTAATGCGCAAAGGGATCTCTAGTTATCTGTCAAAGAATCATCTGACCTAAGGCATATTATCCCATATTGATTAACATGGGTAAGCTTTGTTAAAAATATTAAGGGTGGGAACCCTCCAAGAGTTTCTTAGTTCTATATAAACGTCGAGTTAACAGGGTGCTCATATACGACAATGGTCATGCGCGAAAATTTTCAGGGATGGAGTCCATCTGAAAGTTCCCAAAAAGCCCACTCACAATTACTTTATTAAACACAAGTTAGGGGTTGCAAAAAGCTCATTGTTGAAAAATTATTGGCGATACCAAATACATAAGTGAAAGAGCTGAAAGCTTTTTATAAATATAAAACTATTTATCTTATACACAAAATATAAATTTTCGAATATAACGTTCTTCTTTATTTATAAAGCGTGCGCGGATATATGATATTGTCGTGTGCACTATGTTAACCTAAGTGCATATATTATGCAGAATCTTCTCTTAATATTTTATAAATAATAGCTGCTAAAGTAGAGCATTTTGTTGAAAGACAAATGAATTAATACAATATGACGCGTGGCAATAATGCCACATACTCGGATAATTCCCTAGTTAAAATCAAGCCATTCATTATTTTAATCTTGAATTTTAACATATGCTTTCATCATATAAGTGCATCTTCATTTTTAAATCTGAACGGTAAGATATATTTAAAATGTCCAGCTTAGCTTTAAATTTGTATTAACATTTTCAAATATAAATATGTACTCTTTGTAGATTTGAGCAATGCTGATCGACCTTTTTTCGACGATGTAAGCCCCAGGAATGTGTCAGCTGTCGTTGATGAAATGGCAATTTTGAGATGTCGTGTTAAAAATAAAGGAAATCGCACTGTAAGTCAATGCAATTTAGTATATGCTCAAATAGTTTGTAGTGCAGGGCAAGAAAGATTTATTTTTATTTGCTTTTACTGTCATATTATTTATTTGGCGCGCTCATATACCTGTTACCCTCTTAAAAATGGTACATACATATGTATATTCTTGCAAAAGTGTGAAAAAATAACACGAGGCATTTTTGAGCAGATTAGTAAGCCGATTCGATATGTGCATCTGTATAGCTTCAGCTTGTCAAGCTACAAGAAATAGATGTTTCCCTTGTGATGCCCAAGCAAGTATTTTTTTTATAAAGAGCCCCTTAAAACCCGCGAATCGGTTTAATAAAATTGTTATAATAAAATTCTTTCCCTAAACTTACAGTTAACTTAAATTTTTTGATTTGTTGCCCTTGTAGGGAGGGAGTTGTATTTAAAATTTTGCAAGAGACATTTTCGACCATATAAATAAAATAAACTTTATTAAAATTATCAATTTATCTACCAATATCCGTTTGTCCGTGTCTATGCAAACTAGCTCTCAGTTTGAAAGCTATTTGGATGAAAGTTTTCTTGAGTCGCAGGCAGTTTATATGTCGGAAACGAGATTAAAAGACTAAATCGTTAATCTGCTATTTATATGCATATGTCGGAGAGCTGGTACATGTTCTCTGTAGGTCAGTGTGTGTTCGCTTAAGTGCATTTCCTAGAACGTCATTAAAAGTAGGCGACGCTTAGGCGGGACATATTTTGGAACTTTGGATTGTAAATGCGCAGTTAACGGGAAAGAAGCATAGTAGCGGAAATTGAGTGTCTGCTACTGAGTGAGGTCTGATCGTATGTCGCGAACTGAGTGAGAACAGAGGCAGGAGCAAAGAAGGAATTGGTAAAATTGAGCTCTGCGTTCTCGGAGGTCAGTTCGATTTGCGGCATAGAGACGAGCAGAACTTGCTGTGCTTAGGAAATTAAATAAAAATGAATCCGTCACCAAACGAGCCCCCGATATCAGAAGTGGGATCGGCTGAGCCTAGAGTTCAAGATTCAAACCAGATCCTCGCAGCTCTTGAAGCACAGAACCGGAATCTAATGGACATTATCAAATCCATGCAGAATCCAAGGCCGGTAGCAGATGCAAGGCCTGTACATGTTGCTTTGCCGAAATTTAATTCTGTGCGGGAGCAGGCATACTGGAGTGAAGGATCGCTCCAATATACGATGTTTTAAGTGCGTCGAACTGGAAAATTACGCTAGTTCATGTCCTAAAATCCGGACCAGCGGAAATGAGATCTCCTTCGAGAAGCGTGAGGACATTTGCATTGTTTCCCCGACCAAGGGAATAATAAATGTATCCGGTGAGTCAATTCCATTTTGCTTCGACTCAGGAGCTGAATGTTCGTTGGTAAAGGAAAGCGTTGCAGACAAGTTTAAAGGAAAGCGACTAAACAATATTGTGAAACTAAATGGCATCTGTAACGACTCTATCTATAGTACAATGCAAATCCTTTCTAATATAAATATTGAACAGTATTGCGTAGAAACTTTATTGCATGTTGTAATGGACAAATACCTAAATTACGATGTTTTGATTGGTCGCGAAATATTAAGCCAGGGCTTTAGTGTAGCAATAGACGCTGAAAAATTTAGTATTTACAAAACTAAAAGAGTGAATGTCGTAAATTTTGCCAATTATAAAAACCTTGTAGATTCCGATGGCGACTTGAGTAACTCCGATAAGATGGCCTTGAAAAATATTCTGGAACGTTATTCTGATTGGTTTATAGAGGGAATACCAAAGACTCGGGTAACAACAGGGCACTTGGAAATTAGGTTAATAGATCTACAAAAGACAGTGCAGCGCCGGCCATATAGACTTAGCGAAGATGAGAAAGTGCATGTACGTTCTAAAATCGATGAGCTCCTTAAATCTAATATTATTCGTCCCAGCTGTTCACCTTTCGCTAGTCCTATGATGCTCGTTAAAAAAAAAATGGCAGTGATCGTCTTTGTGTAGATTACCGTGCTTTGAATGAGAACACAGTCTCAGACAAGTATCCTTTGCCTTTGATTTCTGATCAGATTGCTAGGCTACGTGGGGCAAGTTATTTCTCATGTCTCGATATGGCCAGCGGCTTCTACCAAATACCGGTACATCCAGATTCAATTGAGCGCACCGCTTTTTTCACCCCCGAGGGTCAATATGAATTTTTGACTATGCCGTTTGGTTTAAAAAACGCTCCGTCCGTGTTTCAGCGCGCTATTATTGCAGCATTGGGAGGTCTTGCTTACACTTACGCCATCGTTTACATCGATGATGTTTTGATTGTGGCCGAAACTAAGGATGAAGCCTTAGATCGATTGGAGATTGTACTAGAAACTTTGAGCAAGGCTGGGTTTTCATTCAATGTAACTAAGTGTTCCTTTCTTAAAACTAGGATAGAATATCTGGGGTTTGAAGTGAGCAAAGGACAGATTCGCCCTAATCCACGCAAAATTCAAGCGCTGACAGAATTGCCACCCCCAAAAACGGTTACGCAATTAAGACAATTTATAGGGCTAGCATCTTACTTTCGGCAGTTTGTGCCAAAATTTTCTGAGACTTTAAAAACACTGTATTCGCTCACTTCAAAGAAAAATTCAGATTTCGTTTGGCTGTTAGAGCATGAAAGAATTCGCTCGAAAATAATATCCGTTTTAACCCAGGAGCCTGTGCTAACCATATTCGACCCTCAACATTCGATTGAACTTCATACAGATGCCAGCGCAATTGGCTATGGTGCCATTTTGCTTCATAGAATCGACAAAAAGCCTCATGTTGTTGAATATTTCAGTAAATGCACGTCACCTGCTGAATCAAAATACCACTCATATGAGCTTGAGACTTTGGCAGTCGTCAACGCCATTAAACATTTTCGTCATTATTTACAGGGGCGTAAATTTGTTGTATTTACAGATTGCAATTCGCTAAAAGCTAGTCGAACAAAATCGGACCTTTCACCAAGGGTGCATCGATGGTGGGCTTTTCTACAGTCGTTTGATTTTGACATTCAGTACACGAAAGGTGAAAGAATGGCACACGTAGATTTTTTATCAAGGAATCCGATGATTAAAGAATGCAAGAGCATAGAGAAAATTGTTGAAAAGCGAATTGAATTGACTGAGGTAACTGACAATTGGATAGTTTCTGAGCAACAACGGGACCCTGAAATAGCTGATTTATTAGCTAAGCTTAAAAATAACGAATTGCCGGAAAATTTAGATAAAACTTATGAATTGAGAAAAGGCGTTTTATATCGAAAAATACAAAGGAACGGCAAAAACAAGTGTTTACCTGTAATACCTAGGGCATTTAGATGGGCAGTGATTAATCACGTCCACGAATCTATTATGCATTTAGGTTGGGAAAAAAACCTTGGATAAGGTATATGGGTTTTATTGGTTTGAAAATATGTCGAAGTACGTTCGAAGGTTTGTCGAAAACTGCATTACCTGTAAACTAGCCAAGCCACCGGTTGGGAAAATTCAGGTGGAACTACATCCGATTAACAAGGTCGAAATTCCGTGGCACACAGTGCACATTGATATTACCGGAAAGTTGAGTGGAAAGAACGACCTAAAGGAGTATGTAATTGTTTTGGTGGATGCGTTCACAAAATTTGTTTATTTTCATCATACCCTAAACATTGACACAGAAAGTTCCATTAAAGCCGTTAAAGCCGTCGTGTGTTTGTTTGGTGTGCCTACTCGAATTATAGCGGATCAGGGCCGTAACTTTGCCAGCTCAGGATTTCGTGATTTTTGTTCTTCCCAAAAAATTGAGATTCACTTAATTGCAACGGGCGCGAGTAGGGCAAATGGCCAGGTTGAACGTATTATGAGCACACTTAAAAGTATGTTGACCGCTGTCGAAACAAGTCAGAGATCGTGGCAAGATGCATTGGCCGAAGTACAGTTGGCAATGAATTCCACAGCTAATCGAGTCACCAAGGTCAGCCCATAAGAAATGCTTATCGTTAGGGAAGCTAGACCTTTCGGCCTATTGCCAATAGGTGAAGAAGAGGATAATTTAATTAATAGAGAATCCGTAAGAAAACAAGCTAAGGAGAATATGGAAGTTAATGCTCGTTACGACAAACGTAGATTTGATAAGAACAAAGCAAAAATAATTAAATTTAACGTTGGAGACCATGTATTGTTGAGAAAGGAAGAGCGACACCAGACAAAACTTGACCCAAAACATAAAGGTCCGTTTGAAATCATTGAGTTACTAGATGAGTAAGAGAACATATAAGAGAACATATAAGTATGCGCATGAATTTTTGAGAGCATTGCCGAATAGGCAAATAAGTGAAGTTGATGAAGAATTCGACGACTCAAAAGGAGCTGAGTCTGATTCCCAAGTGGGAAATGAAGATATGGATGGCACTGTAGGTGCTTTGGAATCCCAAGAGGGGATTTAATGACCGCACCATAACAGATGGACATGTTATGGCGGGGGTCAGTGGTGACCGCACCATAGCAGAAGGACTTGCTATGGCGGGGGTCGGTAATTTGGTGTGAATGAAAATGCACAAGTTGATAAAGTTCATAAGTTAGTATGAATTGTTAAATATGGTTAAGAAATAAAAGTAATGTAGAGAGTGTTAAAGAAACTACACTAATGTTATTGTAATGTGTTAAAGGAACTACACAAATGTTAAAAAGTGTTAAAGGAACTTCACTAATGTTATATAGTAAGATGTGTTAAAGGAATTACACAATTGTTAAAATGTGCCAAAGGAAATGCACAAATGTTTTATTTTACAAAAAGAGAATAATGTTATTAAAGAATAACTAAATGAATTAATGAGATTATGTTTAATTGAAGAAATGTTAATGAAATGTTTTAAAGAATAAAAATGAATAACAACTGACGTGTGAACATGGAGTGATTTAATGATAGCACACGAGGACGTGTGATTTGTCAGGAAGGCCGTGTCGGAGAGCTGGTACATGTTCTCTGTAGGTCAGTGTGTGTTCGCT